CGCCTCAGTGCTACAGAGCTTGTGCTTAGGCGCAAGTTTCTTGGTTTGCCCGACTGGCCACTGGCGCCTAGGCGCCCAGTAAGCTGGCACCAGGGCCCTTGGAAGGCTAGTGCCTAGATGCCCGTCTACTGGTCTTCAAATGCTCAATTTTAACTCTATTTCAACTCTGCTTCGCTCCATTTGTCCTTCCTCTTATACCTGCAAAAAAAACACAAGTAACTTTCTTTAAAGTGGAGTTTCTTTCATAAATATGTGCAAACTATGAAGGAAATTTAACATTCCTTAGGACATATCACTCCTTTAACACATAATCCTAAACCTAATTCTTTAACATTATACCTAAAAGGTTTGCTAGGAATAAAATTGCAATGATTTTAGAGGTTTTCTCTCCTACGCTGAGGTTGAAGACACATTTTCTGAGCTTGATCAGAGCTCCAACCATGCTAGGATGAGATTATCACCTTTCTTCTTCCAAGTGGGATGAAGTTCTCCTTTTTCAAAGGAGATATGAAGCTCTTCTTCCAAGAAGCTTCTTCAAGGCCCCCTCTCACACTCTCCTCAAGTAAACGATGGAGAAAATGAAGAAGGAAGAATGAGGATTTGAGAAAGAAGGAGAAAAGAAGATGAACTTGAGGAAGAAGTTTCCTTTAAGCTCTCCACCACTCCAAAAAAACTTCTAAGCTAAAAGAAAATTTGTTTGCCCTCCCCTCTTGGTTGGTTTCCTTAAATGGTTTAGATTGAGGAGGTCCATTTTTTCCATTTTTGGGCATGGATTCACCCAAGAGATCCAATGGTCCCTTGCTTAATGACATTTTAGGCATAATAGCCATATAATAGAACTTTAATCCCTTGGTTGCATGCATATGAGCATGTTTAAGGGACCAAAAGGTCCCTTCTTGTGGAAATTTCAGGCAACCAAATTAGAGCAAAACTTGACCCGGCGCATGGGCCTCAGCGTCTGGACATAGGTTCTCCGAGATTCATCTGATAGGGCACGAGCGAGCCCAAAAGGCGGCACAAATTCTCCAGGTTCTCTGTTTTCTAGCATGGATGCGCCCAAAACATGGCATGGGTTCTTTGAACTCTTTGTTTGCTAGCACGGGTCTAGTGTGGTTCCAACGAGGGCACACCAAAAGAAAAAAGGAGCGGATGCGACCAAACTATGGCACGGGTGCGCCATAGGCCTGAATACATAGGTGCGTCTAAAGCTTGTCACGAGTGCACCCGGGCTTAGTTTTTTGTTGTTTGAAGCATTCCACGCTACTCTGTAAACGCAAGTCAGTGGCAACTCATAAGAATGGCAACTCGTCTCTAGGGCTTGAAAGAGAGCACCAGAAGACGCGTGAAGCATGACCTCGTTGCTCTCAGGTAGATATCTCACACGTACGCCATCAAAATGTAATTAATGTGAGAATACCCGGGCTTAGTTTTTTGTTGTTTGAAGCATTCCATGCTACTCTGTAAACGCGAGTCAGTGGCAACTCATAAGAATGGGAACTCGTCTCCAGGGCTTGAAAGAGAGCACCAGAAGACCATGTCGGATATCTGAAGCTACGAGGAACAACGTATGCGTGAAGCATGACCTCGTTGCGCTTAGGTGGATATCTCACACGCACCCCATCAAAATGTAATTAATGTGAGAACTATACAAATGGATTGTCTAAGAGGACCATACAAATCATGAAGGATTTATTAAGGTTGTGTGTTTTGAATTTTGGGGGATGTTTGAAAGATCAAATTCAACAAATTGAATTTACTTATAATAATAACAATAATAATAATTTTTATTTTGGTATTAGAATGGCTCGTTATATAACTCTATATTGTTGAAGATGGAGAACAACTCGAACATTAACATAAGAGAAGAGAAGATTATTGGGTCTAGAATCAGTTGACAAAACTATTGAAAAAGTCAAATTTATCAGAGATAAATTGAGTGCAACAAAAGACATATAGAAGTAGTAAGATCCAAAGTATTGTACAATAGAATTTAATGTTGGTGTTATATATATATGTATCTTCTGTCTAAAATTCATAATATATTTCATTTTTCTTCTTTAAAAAAATGCATGAGCAAAGACAAAGAATAGAGTAGCAGAAGCTAATTAGAACTATAACCTAATTTGACTTACGAAGAGGAGCCTAATCATATATAGGCTTATCATATGAAGCAACTAAGAAACCAATAAAGTCACATAATGAATGTTCAATGAAAACTTATATGAGAAAACAAAGCAACATGGGAGAAAGAATTTGAGATGATATAATTATATTTATGCTTTGCATTGGCTAAGTTTCAAGCACGAGAATAAAGAGTATAACATTATTTACAAGGATGGGAGATTGTAATAGCTAAGACTATCGTGTATTCGAGGATTTACCACAATGCTCTTGATGGCATAAATATTTGTATATATAATTGAAAAATATAAGTTTTAGCATAGACATTCCATTATGTATGTTAAGATGCATTTTAAAGTTGTTTTGCCATTTGGATTATTTTCATAAATGATTTGCATAAAATAGAAATGAAATACCAAACGATGATGAGCATTCGATCAGTTTGCATGGATTAATCATGAAATTTGTCAAACTTATTGCAATTAAAATCCAAACTCTAAAAAACCATACAATTTAAAATTTTCAAAAATTTCATTATGTTTAAATGGCTCGGTTATGAAGAAACTGAAATTTAATTGAGTTTGATTATAAACATATATTATAACTTATACATATTGCATGCACATTATGGATTTAATTTTATGAATCCTCTATTCATTTCAGTTGAATATTGCATATAATAAAAACTTTGATTTTCTTCGGTTTGCTAAACATGAAATTAAAGTAAGATGTGATATTTTTAATTAATTTTTTGTTATTCGGTTTGCTCAATTAAATGAAAATTAAAACCGAACGAATAACTAAAAAGCACATATTATGGTTTTAAAAATCCAAAATAAAAATGTAATTTTGAAACTGAAACAGACCAATCAAACTTGATCATTTCCGTTCAACTTTTTTTTATTTTTGACCAAATAATGCACGCTCGTTAATATACTTTGAAATTCTATACGCATAAATTTTGACCTGTAACCATCAAATAATATTCATGGATCTGTTATAAGCCCAATTTATAATTTTTCTTGACAATATTAAATAAAATGATAGAACTATAATTAACATGATTTTTTTCTTATTTTTAGGGGATCTATAAGTGAAAGATTATAAATGTTAATTATTTTGGAAATTTCTTAAGAAATGTGTATGTGTTGATACAAATTTGTTTCTCTAAATTGTTTTCCATCTGTTTTATAAATAATTTTCATTAAAACATTTTAGACATGAAACCCTATTTTATGATTTTCTTTTCATCATTTTTGGAATTTTTGATTTGAAAATATAAAAGAATTTATGAAAACTTCATAACTAAATAAAAAATTTGCAAATTTACATATTTTTCAAAGACATTTTTATTATATTATTCCAGTAATCATTCATCCAAAAACATCTCAAGCAAGCCACTCTTCATGTTTGTTTGAGCTCTTAGAGAGAAAGGCAGAGAAAGAGAGTCAGGGAGCGAACCCATCATGATTTTCGTCTAATGAGTTATTTGGGAGAGTTTATTGACAAAAGATAGGTTATCATTATCCTACATCATATTTAAGTGATTTTGTCCTTTTATGTATTTTCTAAATTTTATATGTTTAAACCATAAGAAAATCATAATATAATTGCATTTTAGAACTTTTTCATCATGTAACTTTTAATATGTGTTGTCTGTGTTGTTTTGCATATATTGACATAAGCATGTTAAATTTTAGTATTTATTATGTTTGAGATATATTTTTTTAAAAAAAAGCTTCATTAAGTATGATTGAAACAATACATTATGATGTGTTGGCATAAGAGTGATTACATGAATGATTACTATAACATTTATATTGTGATTCAAGCATATGAATTGAGTATATATGTAATACCTTATGAGGGAAGGATGGGTTGACATTTTATAAATCATTTTATAAATCAACCGTCCTCTTTCATCCATTTTTCAAATTCTCACTCAAATATCATAATTCAGATAAAATAACAGCACATATTTTTTTTATTTTTATCAAATGTTCAATGATTTGATAGCTCAATAACTTAATAGTGACATATGTAAATGCATCAATTTTATAGTTCAAAAAAATATAGTTTTATCAAATGTTCAATGATTTGATAGCTCAATAACTTGATAGTGACACATGTAACTGCATTAATTTTATAGTTCAAAAATATCACTTAAGTGTTCGATTTTATAAATAATAATGTTTCAGATGCTTTGTATGTAATTATCCTAATTTTATATGCATTTCCTCACCCAATTTTTTTCCTTCCTAGTAGGTCCTTCCTAGTGGGGGTGTAAGCGAGCGAGCCTAGGCTGAGCTCGTGTTCGACACGTTAAAAAATATCATTGTTCGTCAGCGACTAGTTTATATTTCAAATAAAAATATTTGTTAGTGTTAAACTTATTTGCTTAACGAGCCGAACACAAATTGTTTGCAAGCAAAGAATCATTTTTACAAACCTAATTATGCAAACGTAGGATATTAAAAATTAGGCCGAGATTAAAATCTTAATATTTATATTGAAATATTATTTAAATATAATTGAATATATTTTATTTTATTTATTTAATAATTTTAATTAGTTATAATTTTTA